CCACCTGAACTCTATGTCATCGCAGCTGTAAGTTAATAAAATAGCTATACTCACCATATGTGCGCTAAGCAATGTTGTTGTACTCCCGATTGTAAGAACACATTCTTCACCTCGAGTCCCGAAACAAGCCCATCTTTGTCTCGATCTGATTCCCGGAATGTTATTTCAAAGCGATTCAACTCAGCTGGACTAACAACCCAATCAGCACTTGCTGTCACTGAAGGGGGCGCGCCAATAGGTATAAGCGGATCTGTGGATATAAGTGGTTGTGTTTGCACAACACTAGCACCGACTGGTGGAACACGTGTCATTGTTGGTATCGCAGGCAGCGGTGGTATAGCTGGTGGAGGCGCTATATCTTTAGGAAAGTTTGCTACAAAACCACCATCGCCAAATCCTTCGCCACTGGGAGCGCGAGGCATAGCAGCATTATTGCTTGTAACAGCCGGGGGAGCTGGTTTTGGAGGCGGACCTCCGCCAGCGCCTGCCTTGCGCAGCTCAGGTGGTAGCACATCTGGTACAGTACGTTTCTCTAATGTCTGATAGACCAGATGCATGGCCACGATGAATTCGTGCTTATCTAAGTTGCCATCTTTATCCTGATCGGCTAGATCCCAGATTTTTCCCAACGTGTCCATTGGCAGTTTAGAATCCATGAGTACGCCTTTGACCTTGTTCCCAGCCAGCATTCCATTAACAGGTTTTAATGTCTCGAACAGTTGTTCATACTTTAAGCGGTCTATAATGCTAATGGACCAATCACCACTTGTAATGCCACCACTAGAAACCGGCACTGTTTGAATACGAGGTGGCATGATTTTCGGTATATCACCCTGTGTAATAAAGTACATTTTTAAAACGTTAAGCTTTAAATGTATTTTATAATATATAATTGAAAATTATCAATAAAGTACTCGTACACATATTTTGGTATGTACATACACACCAAAATGCATGTCGTCAAGGTAGTTTACTTATTTCGGGCAAACATTTTTAATGGACAATTGATAAAAAAAAGTTCCCGAAAATACAAAATGCAGAATACATCGACGTCATTGTTCCAGTAACTGCGATTGTGTAACCTATTTGGCCA